AACACACCTGTATTCGATAAAATGCACGACTTTTCTTTTGTCGGCTGACTACGCGCTCGGTTGCCAGCTTCTCTAATTCCTCTATCGGAGCATCAGGATGTTGAGCGCTAAAATATATTTCATTTTTTGGAAATAGGGACCAATAAGTGTATTACCGTAGACTTTTGAAGATTTCCAGATACTGCTTACGGTGTTCTTCAAAAGCGATTGCATCAGCATCCGTGTTTGATTGTATGAGAGATAATCTGTGCAATAAAATATTCATGTTACATTCAAGGAGGCATCAAGAAGATTTATACTAGGCTTTTTAAATTTCAACCAAGCATAAACTATTCTCCGCTGCAGATCCTGTGAAAACGAACAAATACCTGTGGTCATCTGTTCCATTTTCTATCGTAACTGCAGATTTTTCCTTCGTTGGACTTCGTCTTGGTGTTCGTCGACGTGCGAAAAATGTTTGAATGGGGTTGACGAGTATCCTAAAGCTTTTATGGTGGAATATATTAAGACGTTGGTATCCCATAGCAGAAGGACTAAAAAAACAGTTTTGAGATTTAAGAAAAACAGATAGAATAACAGTTGTATATGTTCTTAGAGTTGAGTTTAGAACGTTATCCATTTTTGAGGAAAAATGCAAGTTCAAATCAATGAATCGCGAAAAATACATTGACTTGGATTCAGGGAAGGAATACTCAATGATGATTTGAATTTTATATTCAAAAAATGTAGATGAAGAAAAATCTTTTTTTAAAACATAAGGTAGGAGTAAGATTTTGGCAAATTTAAATGTCTAATTTATGTTTCGACAAATATGAGAAGAATTTTTCGAGTTTCGACCATACATAGAGAAACTTCAGAGAGTAAATGACTTTCATGCTTTTGTTAGATTTTGTCAATAATTGATCAAACTTCAAAGCACACGCAAGGCTAAGATCTAAGCATAAAGCCACTACAAAAGTATTGTTGCAATATAGTAATATAAAACACAGATATTTTTTCCAGCGTTTCGAAGATTAAAAGCGATGACGTACCGTTGACCAAAGATTCCTGTGTATGTGTCGGCTACGTATGCGGAAAGGACCGTTAAAGGG